ACAACCTGAAGACAAACCAATTTTATAAATGGAGATAATAAATGTATAAATAAATATATTACTTTTGTTTTGACTAACTCATAATTGCAAGGTAATAAATTACAAATTTGTAATCTTAGCAGAAATTATTCATATATTATGGCAGTTTTACGTTATGTATAAGACCCATACTATGTTATCTGAAAGTAACTTAGGAGGTCGGAATTTCTTCATACTTTGGTCAAATTATACGACCTGAATTAAAGTTCTGCTAAGTGGTCAGTCATACGTCGTTAATGCCAGAATTTATGAAAAACCTCACATTGATACTAAGTTGTTTGTAAAACCATAGAACTTTTAAAATTTGTTTCGTACTTTTGTTGCCAGTCGTAATTTGAGTCGGGTTTTAGGTACATTATAGCATCTAGGAGGGTTAGGTGCATTTTAGACTTCCTCCCTACCGGACAGTTGGTTTATACACTTTTACTTTGTTTCTTTGGTAATATCACGTTACTTTGATGCTTTAGTCATAGTATATTAATATACTAACGAATGTTCACAAATATTTTAATATACCCAATATCAAGGTCACCAACGTATTTGAGTAACACACTCAGAGATGGTGTGTGTATACGTATACAATGTGAGACTGTGTAGTGCACACACGACTGAAAATGCAATCATGCATAAGTGAAGTGCTGTGACAAGTTAATATTACCCGGTAAAATGGGCGTAGCCTGAAAACAAAACATTTCCATTGTCAAGACATTCATCCATTTAGATAGACTTCAGTCTTCCATTGTCTCTCCTTCCTTCAATCTTCCCAGTTTCGACCAGACTTTCAATTTATTCTTTCCTCATAATGAGTTCGAGAAATTACAACTATCCCTTTCTGATGTTAGACAGCAGCTTCCTCCTGGAACCTACTCTTTACAAAATATCTTCATTTGATGTGTGACTTGTCCAACATGTCTTAAAGATGCGCCCTAAGAACCACAACTCATTTGCTGCAATTCTCTTTTTCACACTTGGCAACATTGTCAGGCATAAGTAAGAATTGGTATAACATAGCAACCTAAAATTCTTTAAATTCGTTTCCACAGAAATTTGTGAATATCTTTTTCATTCTGAGAAATGTGTCTTTTCGCCATACCTATCCTCTGTTTTATTTCATGATCACATTTACCATCTGTTATCCACCTTCTCAGGTAAAAGAATTTATTGACTTACTTTTTCTACTTTGACAATGTATACAGGAACGATCTTTTTCTTTATAATTACTACACATTCTGTTTTCCTACTGTTAATACTTAAACCCATCTTCTCATTTTCACTAAAAACTGTATCTAAAATCTTTTGCAGCTATTAAAACTATGTCATAAGCATAACGCAAGTTGTTTCGCCAATGAACAGCCCTGATAAATACTCAATCTCCTTCAACATTTTGTCACCGTAAAAATTACACAAGTCAGGTAGAGACGCAGGCTTGCTTGGTGTTTTTCTTAATTTGGATGAAATCACTTAATTCATTTCTTATCTTCACTGCTGCAGTTTGGTCCCAATAGAGGCTTCTTAAAATTGTCAAGTCTTTGGAATCAATGTTCAGTTCTTCCAACATCTTCATTAACTCCACGTTCTTGATTCTATCAAAAGCTTTGGTATAATCAATAAAACACAAGAAAGGGTCCCCTTTCATTTATATTGCTTTCTCCGAAATCAATCATACCACGCAGATATAATTTCTTGTACCACATTGAACTTTTCAATCCCTGCTTTTATTCTACTTCTAGCCCTCATCATCAGTACCTTCAATAGGATCTTTGTAGCATAGTCTTTTAGGCGGTGCAATAAAAATAATTTACTGAGATTTTCAGGTATTTCACAAATCTAATTGATAGTTAACTTTTCTATACCAGACTCTTCCAAACATTTCATTTGTTGTTCCACTGCAATATCATCTGGCTCTGTAGCTTTTCATTATGTTGATAACTGTTCATACTTCTGACTTTAGAATTTTTAATCCTCCATGTTCCTAATAGATGCCTTTATTTCACGATTGTCGTAGAATAAATTTTCAATACTTTTTCTCGTTCCATAATTACGCCACCATTCTTAGCTTATATACACACATAATTCTATTTTGACATAAATACCTTTTCAAAATAGATCTGTATCTACACCAAAGAATCAGTTTACCTAGAACAGCGGTTTCCAAACCTTTAGTCTCAGGCTCCCTTGATGTGAATAAAAAGTTTAATTCTCCCACTACCTTAGCATGGTGATTGAAAAGTGCCGTAGTAAAAACAGTAACACCTTCTTTTGATATACTGTATCACTTAATTAATTAGAATACTTTTTATCGGCTTACTATATATTTAGAATTAAAATTAATTCGGGATCTTTGTTCTCGACCCCCACTTTGAGAAAATACTGGCCTAGAACTCTTGCGCTTTTAAAGTTTCATATTAATAACATTTAGGGGAATGAGGTACCAAACCCACTTTCGTTTCATTACAAATTTTAACGGTTGTGCATGTAGTTAAACATACGGTTATAATTTCAAGCACAACACCAGATGAGGCATTACTGTTTTCAGAAAGTTAGGTACAGCAAGCTGACGATATGGAGAAAGTACTATCCAAAATAATACATTGTCACTATATAGAGACAATGTCATTGAACGAGTAATTATTTTCATCATTGAAGTTTAACCATGAAAGTTTTAAGATACCCTCTTCTCATAAATTAAAAAAAAAAAGAGCTTATTTTAAAGTTTTGTTCTAAAATGACTATATGTTGGAGATCCAACACAGCAAACAATTTTGGAATTATCATTCCATTGAAAAACGATAGGGATCGCTATACATTTTTTGTCTTAAAACTATAGCGTACCAACAATTCCATCAAACATACATGCAGAATGTATTACCACAGCGTAGAAATTTGGATACAAAGTAA